GGCTTAAACTCATGCTGAGCACATGTGCGTGTGTGCCCAAGATCCCTGAATGAGAATGGAGGAGAAAGGATTACACCATGGCTGTCCCCCCGGAAATGGGTGATTTCTCACTTTCTGTCTCTCTGTCTCTTTTTCTGGTGAGTACACCATGCCCTATAGCAAAAACCTCCCCACAAAACAAACAAACTTAAGATTGCAGGGTCAGCATGTGGCATAGTAGTTAAGGTGCTGAATTCCCGAGTCCCAGGTGATTTCTCACTTTCTGTCTGACTCTGGTGAGCACACGTACCCTGTAGCAAAAATTTAAATACATACATACATACATACTTACTTACATACAAATAGGGGCCAGCAGGTGGCGTGGTGGTTAAGGGCACTGGACTCCCACATGACTGACTATAGTTTGAGTCCTGGACCTGGCAGTTTGTTTTCTCACTTCATTTCTCTTTCTTTCTCTCTCTCTCTCTCTCTCTCTCTCACTGTCCCTCTCTGGTCAAATTTAAATAAATAAATAAGTGAAGTGAAATAAAATAACCCTTATAAAAATAATAACAACAAATAAAAACTTAAGATTGAATATTTGGGCCACTAGGTGGTATGATGGTTAAGGCGTTGGACTCCCATATGGCTGACCATGGCTTGAGTCCTGGATCTGATGGCTTGCCTTTTCATTCTCTCTCTCTCGTCAAATTAAAATAATAATTTCAAATAAAATTAAATAATTCTTTTTAAAACAAAGATTAGAATATTTTAAAAATTATTTTATTTAAAAATTTTATTTATTATTATATAGCTTTTTATTTGTTTGTTTATTTGTTGATTTGTTATAATTTGACCAGAGAAAGAGAGAAAGGGAAAGTGAGAAAACAAACCACCAGGTCCAGGACTTGAACTGTGGTCGGCTATGTGGGAGTCTATCACCTCAATCACCATGCCACCTGCCGGCCCAAGGTTGAAATATTTTCAGCTTAGTAATTAGTGCAGAAAGCATAATCACTACCTTGAAAGTATGATTAGAAAAAGACAGCTAAAGAATATGGTTTGGGAACCAGCAGTTAGCGTAATGGCTATGTCACTGGACTCCCACGTAGTCGACTACGGTTCGCGTCCCGGACCCAGTGGCTTAAAACTCACGCCGGGCGTGTGTGCGTGCGTGCCCAAGATCCCGAGAGGAGAATGGAGGAGAAGGGATTGTGGCGTGACCATCCCCCCTGGGGGTGATTTCTCGCTTTCTGTCTCTCTGTCTCTCTCTGTCTGTCTGGCAAGCGCATGCACCCTATAGTGAAAATCTCTCCAAAAAAAAGAAAAAGAAAAAAAGAATATGGCTTGTGGGGGCCAACAGATGGTGTGGTGGTTGAGGGCGCTGGACTCCCACATGGCCGACCATGGTTCAAGTCCATATGGCCGGCCATGGTTCAAGTCCCAGACCTGGTGGCTTGCTTTCTCCCTTTCCCTCTCTTTCTCTAATGCTGACACTCTCTGGTCAAATTAAAAATAAATAAAGTTAACAGAGAGAGAGAGAAAAAGGGAGAGAGTGAGAAAGCTAATTACTAGTTACCAAGTCTGGGACTTGAACCATGGTTGGCCGTGTGTGAGTCCAATGCTCTGACCACCATACCACCTGCTGCTCCCAGTTTGTGTACATTTTTAAATCCCATTTTCTTCATTTCTCATATAACTTTGTGTTCTTTTTTCCTAGTGTATGTTATGATAGCAATCTTCTGCATAGCATCGTCCATGAGTTTGTACAACTGTCTTGCAGCACTAATTCGTAAAATACCATGTGGACAATGCAAGTATGTATCTCTAACGGGGAATCCTTTCATGTTGATGTTTGTCACTTAAAACAGGACAGAGTAGGAGTGTCATTTTAAACCTTGGCAGGCCAGTATACAGTCCATCTATGGCTGTTTAAATTATACTTGACCCTCAAACAATTCAGATTTGAACTACTTGAGTGCACTTACACACGGTTTCTTTTTTTTTTTCAATAAGCATATTGAAAAATACAGTATAGTACTGAAAATATATTTTCTCTTATAATTTTATTTAAAATACTAGAGGGTGCATACATTCACCAGAGACAGAAGGAGAAAGGGGACGAGAGAACACATCCTCCAAGGAGCACAGTCATGCCGCTGTCCTTTCTCCTCCGTTTCACCGTCTTGTGGGGATTTGCGGCTTGCACACACAGATGTGCCCTAATATTGACTGGGCTGTGGAGCTGACCTCCTGATGAGTGTATTAATATGTTTTTCTCTGGCTAACTTGATTGTAATACAGTATATAATACATATAATATACAAAATATATGTCAGTCAGTTGTCCATGTTATTGGTAAGGCTTCCAGTCAATAGACCATTAGTAAAATTTAAAGGGAGTCAGTTATGTTTGGATTTTTTTTTAAATAAATAAATTTATTTATTTATTGCAATTTATTTATTTATGTTCAAGCCACCAGGTCCGGGACTCAAACTGTGGTCAACCATATGGGAATTCAGTACCTTCACCACCATGCCACCTGCTGGCCCCCATCTATTTAGATTTTTGACCGTGGGGTCAGTAATGAAATAAAATTAACATTTCAGTTCTGCAATCCTGTTAGCCAGATTCCTTTCATGTGCTCAGTAACCCCATGTAGCTAGTGGCTGCTGTATTGAGTAACACAGATATAGAACATTTTTTTCATTACAGAGTTCTCTTTTACTGGTAAACATTTTATTATGTCTCCTTTGTTTTACTTAAAATCAATACTTTTGAAATGGTATTTCAGTCACTTTTTGTGAATCGTTCACATTTACCACTTCTTCTATCAAGCAAACTGCATTTCATCTGCAGCATAAACTAAACTATTCCATTCTGTTTTCAGGATCGTGTGTTGTGACAAAAGCATCGAAGTGAGACTCGTTTTTCTCTCCAGTCTATGCATAGCAATAGCTATTGTTTGGGCCGTGTTTCGCAATGAAGACAGGTATGAATATTCAGCATGTTTGCATTTAAATTAAGGATAGTTTATTGTATATCTTGCTCTGGTACTTATTCATTATGATTAGTATTGATTTTTAAAAACTCTTGGGCCTGCAGGTGGCATGGTGGTTAAGGTGTTGGAATTCCCACATGGCTGGCCATGGTTTGAGTCCCGGACCTGGCAGCTTGCTTTCTCACTCTTCCTCTCTGTCTTTCTCTGGCAAAACTAATGTGAAAAACAGTATCAATAATAATAATAAATAAATAATTCTTTAAAAAAAAAAACTCTTATCCAAGAACACCATATTTGAAACAAGCTACTTTTTAAAGAAGTATATCTTATGTTAATAGATGAGGTCTCATATAGAGAAGAAAATATGAATTATGATTTAAACACCTAGTCTGAAACAGACTTCACAAATGTCTATGATTATAGTATAGCCATGCAATGAAATTCAATGCAGTTTTAAAGACTGAAGATCTCTGGAGTTAATATGCAGTGATTTACAGGATATTTCTAAGTGAAAAAAAGCAAAGTGCAAAAGAATATGTTGAGTATACTATTCATGTAAGAAAGAAGACGGTATAGAAAATATATACATACCTGTCCATTTTCATGAAGGATAACCAGGAAAAAATATGTGTTTAGGTTTATTAATAAAATTGCTACAGTCCAAAAGAAGTTATTGGCCTAAGATTGGAAAACTAAGTTCATACAACTTTAGGCTTCTTCAGATATGGTAATCAACTGATAATTGTGCATGACAATTTCTGATAGAATTACATAGCTTGTATTTCCTCTATGTTCACACTCTCTGGTTGTACAAGGACACGTCTGAAGATCCTGGGGAAATGGGGATTAAAATACAAGTTATCTAGGCGTGAAAATTTTTTGTTTGTTTGTTTATTGGGTTTTTTGGAGAGGTTTTCGCTATAGTGCGCGTGCGCTTGCCAGACAGACAGAGAGAGACATAGAGACAGAAAATGAGAAATCACCCCCCGGGGGGATGGTCATGCCGTAATCCCTTCTCCTCCATTCTCCTCTCAAGGATCTTGGGCATGCACGCACACGCACCTGGCGTGAGTTTTAAGCCACCAGGTCCGGGATGCGAACCGTGGTCGACTACGTGGGAGTCCAGCGACATAGCCACTACGCTAACTGCTGGTTCTCTGGGTGTGAAAATTTTGAACTTATTATTTTTTAATTTGACCAGAGAAAAACAGAGAGAGAAAAAGAGAAAGTGAGAAAGCAAACTGCCAGGTCCAGGACCCAAACCATAGTCAGCCATGTGGTAATCCAGTGCCTGTAACCACCATGCCACCTGCCAGCCCCAGAAATCCATGCCAACTTTCTAGAAGGAGACATGTATAAGTTCAAATAGCAAAGATAAATATGCAAGCCAGGTGCAGTGGCACTGTCTTCCCAGCTACTTGGGAGGCTGGGACAGAAAGAGTTGGAGGTCAGCCCAGGCAACATAGTTGAGACTCTGTCTCCCCCTTAAAAAAATATTCCCTTATACCCGATAATCGTTCTTCTGAAGTAGACTTTGATTTTTTAAAAATATAATAGTATTCATTACTAGGACAGTAAATCACTAAATACTGAGAATATGAGAGGCTTTTGTGGTTATGCTTGCTCTTTAACAACTGAATCATAGACCTTGAACATATTACTTTAGTGATCTTTTGTTTTGGAAGTTTTATCTAAAAATAACTGGATGAAACAATGGAGTTATGTCTTTTTATTTTTTAGGTGGGCTTGGATTTTACAGGATATCTTGGGGATTGCTTTTTGTCTGAATTTAATTAAAACACTGAAGTTACCTAACTTCAAGGTAAAGTATACTACTTTACTAGCTAAAATAATTTTTCTTTTTAAAACAATTGTGCTAAGATATTTCTATACAATACAGTGTACTTATTTTAAGTGTACTGTTTGTTGAAATGTTACAAATGTTTAACTTTGTAGCCACTATATAAAGAAGTTACAGAGCATGTTGCATCTCTTCAGAGACCTCTGTCATTTCCTTTTGTAATCAATCTTAACTCTGAGGCCCAGGCCACCACTGGGAGTATTTGCTAGCTAAAGTCCTTTTAATCATTCATAGAATACACCAGATTCATAAAAGCTTGCATGACTTAATATGAAGAAAAACATTGTATTGATTCAGTCATTTTTCTTCAACAGATGAGATGGAGAAGATAAGGTTTTTAATGTAGATTATAGAATAAAATGGCACATAGTAATAACCATAAAATGCCTTTAAAATTAGTATTCAGGTATACATTCATATGTCTATTTGAAAAAATCATTTGATCTCAGTTTAAATGAGAAGTTTGACCTTTAAATTTGTCTCTTTCTTCAACAGTCATGTGTGATCCTTCTAGGCCTTCTCCTCCTCTATGATGTGTTTTTTGTTTTCATAACACCATTCATCACAAAGGTATGACGATGTCCATGAACAAATGTGCTAAAAGATGGAATTTTAAATCTGTCCTTAGATTACCGATTTTTCAAATGTTGACCACACAGTAAGTTCAAACTTTCTTAAGAGAATTGTCATTGAAATTGGCCTTTTAGTAGATGACATTTTCAAGTCTTTAATCCATTTAGTTAGATAAAAAAAATACCTTCTGACTGATGTGACTATGAACATGTCTATCATTTTTCTTCCTTTTAGAAAGTAATTTTTTTTTTTTTGGAGAGATTTTCACTATAGGGTGCGTGCGCTCGCCAGACAGACAGAGAGAGACAGAGAGACAGAAAGCGAGAAATCACACCCCAGAGGGGATGGTCACACCGCAATCCCTTCTCCTCTCAGGATCTTGGGCACACATGCACACGCGCCTGGCGTGAGTTTTAAGCCACCGGGTCCAGGAAGCGAACCGCGGCCGACTACGTGGGAGTCCAGCGACATAGCCGTTATGCTAACTGCTGGTTCCCAGTAATTTTTCTTTTTAAAAGTAATTATTGCTTTTATTTCTGAAGCCCTCCTTTGAAAATAAGAAAGAGCAATATATAGGCAGGCCAAATGTCTAAAGTCTAAGGGATAACTCTGAAACTTTGTAACCCTGGGCAAGTTACTTAACCCTTTTTGCTTAAATTTCCTAATCCATGCATCAGGGAATATAGCTTATTTTCCATCTCCTAGCCCCATCAGTAGAATCCTTTTGACTGCAACAGAGCCCAAACTAAACCTTCCATACTAAAAAGGACTGATGTGCCCAGGCTGTGGATAGAGGCCAGTGTGGGGCTGACCTCAGGAAAAACGAGACCCCAGGCCACATGCTCTCTTTCTTTACTTCTGTCCCTTTGTTCATTCTCTCAGACTAGCTTTTCTTTTCTTTTCTTTTTTGGAGAGGTTTTTGCTATAGGGTGTGTGCACTTGCCAGAAAGACAGAGAGAGACAGAAAGCAAGAAATCACACACACACACACACACACACACACACACACACACACACACCCCGGAGGGATGGCCACGCCGCAATCCCTTCTCCTCCATTCTCCTCTCGGACTTTTGGGCACCCACACACGTGCCTGGCGTGAGTTTAAGCCACCAGGTCTGGGACTCGAACCGCAGTCGACTACATGGCAGTCCAGTGACATAGCCATTACGCTAACTGCTGGTCCGCAGACTGGCTTTTCTCATGAGGTTAGAATCTTAGTGACCAGCAGCTCCTAGCTCATTTATTCCCAACTCTGCACCTAGCTCCTCAAAATGAGAAGTGTTAGGGGAGTATGGTAGTCCTTCATTAGTCCTGCATTAGTGGTCCAGTTTTTCTACCACATCCCTTTTTCCGTCTCATGAATCTATTACTAATTATTGCTTAATTTTTCCACCTTTTCCCATTTTTCTTTTCCTTTTTTTTAGAGAGGTTTTTGCTAGAGAGCATGTGTACTTGCCAGAGAGACAGGCAGAAAGCAAGAAATCACCCCCCCAGGGGATGGCCATGTCATAATACCTTCTCCTCCAGTATCCTCTCAGGATTTTGGGCAGGCACCCGCAAACACACACGCACACCTGGTGTGAGTTTTAAGCTGTTGGGTCTGGGACTCAAACCACAGTCAACTCTGTGGGAGTCCAGCAATGTAACCATTATGCCATCTACTAGTCCCCCTTTTTTTTTTTTTTAAGAGATTTTTGACATAGGACATGTGCGCTCACGGGAGAGACAGATACAAAGTGAGAAATGATCCCCCCGGGGGGATGGCCGCACCACAATCCCTTCTCCATTCTCCTCTTGGGATTTTGGGCATGCACATACATGTACTGAGCGTGAGTTTCAAGCCACTGGGACAGGGATGTGAATCATGATCTACCATGTGGGAGTCCAGTGACATAAGCAGCATGCCACCTGCTGGTACCCCTCATTTTATTTTGAAACTTGCCTTGTAACTTTATATCATCCCATGATCCTTTGACACACTTACCTACAGAGTATTTGATGTTTTCTATTTTTCTTATCCTTTGTTCTTTAGAGGGCACATGTACTCTCCAGAGAGAAAAAGGAAGAGCCCACGCACACACCTCCCAGTGAGGCATGGTCATGCCATGATCGTTTCTCCTCCATTTCTCCATCCCATTAGGACTGTGGACATGCGTGCACATGTGCCCAGTGCATGCTTCAAGCTGCTGGGGCCAGGGTTCAAACCACAGTCAGCTATGTGGGATCTGATTCCCTTCTTTAACCACCATGCTATGAGGCTGGCCCTCTTTGTCTGTCTTTAGACTCTATCATTTATAAAATCACTGTAAAACTCTTCACTGTGATATTTGCTATAATGGTGTAAGAACAAACATGTGCCTTTTGGGGAGCTCAAATTGCAACTAGGTAACAAATGTAGTTGACTGCCCCAAGTTACAGCTACTTAAACCTTGTACTAGCTAGCACCTTTCCATACCTTAATGATGAGCGGTTTGACTCATTGACTTCTTTTTTGGAAATTATTTATTTTATTTATTCATTATTATTATTTCCACATGAGTTTGCCAAAAAAGACAGAGAGAGAAAGAGAGAAGGAGAGTAAGAAAGCAAGCTACCAGATCTGGGACTTGAACCATAGTTGGCCATGTGGGAATTCCAGTGCCTTAACCACCATGCCACCTGCTGGCCCCCTTGACTCACTGACTTTTTTGAACACTAGTAATCCAAAAGAAAAAAATGGCGAATTAGCATTTTTGGTTATAACTAAAAGTCTTCATTTGAAAGCACGTTTTTGTGCCTAAAGCTATCCTAGCTTGTGTTCATGTACTTGATTTAAAAAAAAATGTTTTTGTAGTGTATTCAGTCAGAGACCTTATAATAACAGTGACGCATTCTCCCTACAAAGCCATTACCATATGTGAGCAGATAGCTATATTTGACATAATGGATACAACTATAGACTGTAAATAAAAATTTTTATTAAAGAATTACTTATCTATTGAATTCCCTTTGGTATTATTATTATTATTTGTTTTAATTTGACCAAAGAGAGACAGAGAGAAAGAGAGAGGGAAAGCAAAAGAGTAAGCTACCAGGTCCAACTCAGACTGCAGTCGGCCATGTAGGACTGCAGCACCTGTAACCACCACACCATCTGTGGCCCCAATAAAATTCTTTTTTTTTATTACTATTTTAAAAATTCTAACAGTAGTATCACTTCATGAATACCAAACATATCTCTCTGCAAACAATTTCTATTCCCTATAAAGAAAGTGTTTCAAATCCTAAAGGTATAGGATAATAAAGTGTCTTTTAGCTGCCTTTTTTTTTTTTTTTTTTATCTTTGCTTAAGAAGTTCTTCATCTTTTTTCCATCTTAGTTCCTACTGACTAGGAATGTGATTTCTAGCAACCCAAAATAGTGAAGAAAGCAATAGTGGTCTTTGGAGTTCACTATTATAGAGTTACTTTAACACCTTCTGCTCAGTCTAATTAGTTTTTCATAAGGATATAGAACTTATTTCAGTGAGTAACTCAAAATGAAAGTTACAAAAACTTAATTTATAACTGTGGGTTTTTTTTTAAGAATTATATTTTATTTACTTATTTTTGTTTGTTTTTTTGTGTGTATTTTTTTTTAAGAGAGCACATATATGCTCATTGGAGAGACAGACAGAGATAGAGAGACAGAAAATGAGAAACCATCCTCCAGGGGTGTTGGCCACACCACAATCCCTTCTCCATTCTCCTCTCAGAATTTTGGGCACACATGTGCACACACATGCACCTGGCGTGAGTTTCAAGCTGCCAGGTCCAGGATTCAAACCACTGTCAGCCATGTGGGAGTCCAGTGCCTTAACCGCCACTCCACCTGCTAGCCCTCCTACACATTTTTTTTTCTTTTTTTTTTTTCTTTTTGGAGAGGTTTTCTCTATAGGGCGTGTGCGCTCGCCAGACAGAGAGAGACATAGAGACAGAAAGCGAGAAATCACCCCCCAGAGGGGATGGTCACGCCGCAATCCCTTCTCTTCCATTCTCCTCTCGGGATCTTGGGCACGCACGCACACGTGCCCAGTGTGAGTTCTAAGCCACCGGGCCGGGACGCGAACCGCGGTTGACTACGTGGGAGTCCAGCGACATAGCCATTACGCTAACTGCTGGTTCCCAACACATTTTTTTTTTTTTCCAACACATTTTTGATCCAGATATTAGTAGACTTATAGTAAATTGCTAAGACCGCCGTAGGAATACAACAGTACAATTCTGTCTTACCTATTTTTTTCCATTCATTAGTGTATTTAGTCTAATATTTTATAAATAGTAGTTGGTCATATATTTTTGAATGTGTGAAAGAATGTTAATTATGTTAGGGTGATCTGTTTCATGAGCTGTGAAAGAATTAGCAGACTCAGAGTAAGTGGATAGAAGAAGCTTATTATTTTATTTTTTTAAGAATTCTTTTTTTATTGAACTTTATTTGTTTTATTTATTTATTTATTTAATTTGACCAGAGAGGGACAGAGAGAGAGGGAGAGAGAGAGAAAGCAAGCCACCAGGTCCAGGACTTGAACTGTGGTCAACTATGTGGGAGTCCAGCGCCCTCGACCACCATGCCACCTGCCTGCCCCCTTGCCCCCGGAAGAGGTTTATTATACACTTCCCAAAAGGAGGATAAGGGCCAGAGGTGAGGGTTGCAGTAGCTGTGAAGGGTGGTGGCCAGGGACTATTAAAGAAAAGGCATTCAGGCAGGGTGATTAAGCTGGTCCTGAGACAGCAGCCAGGTTGTCTTTTACAGCATCTGGGTTGCTCAGATGTTATCTCTGGGTGAGTCAGCTGCCTGCAGTAAAATCATGCAGCACCCCCACCCCCACCCCTTTCTTCCTTCCTTTCAGGTGGAAATCTGCCTTTGATCTCTAGGAATTCCCCAGGAGGGCATGTCCCCTCCCACTGGACCAGCCAGACCTGGTTTGACCCTTTAGGCCTTTCTCCCTACCCTGCCAAGGGTACTCAAGGTTGTCTTAGAAGTTGCCTTTCCTCCAACAGAGTCCAAAATAAGAGACAAATATCCAAGGGTTGAACCCTCCTCACAAAAAAAAAAAAAAAAAAAAAGAAAGAAAGAAAGAAAATGCCTAAGGCATCTGTGGAACTTTTGGTTTCCTTCTCATCAAAAATATCTAAGATATTTGGGGTTGGGGCTAATTAAATCCTTTCAAATTACAGTCTTCAGTTACATGTTTTTTTTGTTGCTGTTGTTTCTTTTTCTTTTTTTGGAAAGGTTTTTGCTATAGGGCACGGGCCCTGCCAGAAAGACAGAGACAGAGAGGCAGAAAGTAAGAACTCGCCCCCAGGAGGGATGGCCACGCCACAATCCCTTCTCCTCCATTCTCCTCTTGGGATCTTGGGCACACACATGCACGTGCCTGGCATGCGTTTAAGCCACCGGGGTCCGGGACTTCCATAAGTCCCGTGATGTAGCCAGATGTAGCCATTACACCAACTGCTGGTCCCATTCAGTTACATGTTTTAAATAACAATTAGCAAATGTACCAAAATGAACTCTCTCTGGAAATTTGATCGAGGCCAGAGAATTTGCTTTAAGGAACTGCATATAGTATTAGTTTATTTTCCTAAATTTATGTGACTTAACCCTTCTGTAACCCAGAGCTTAATAAGAGGAAAAGGTTTCTGTAGCTAGGGATGTTATCCTTCTTTCTACTTGCTCATATACCACTGAGGCCCTTTTAATTACACTCAAGTGATTTTTCCTGTGCATCCCATCCACATAGAAAATATTATAGTGAATCAGATCAAAATTTCCTAAAATTCAACCTTTACTTTTCTCCTACCTGGTTTGCTGACAAATTTATTGTAATGTGAAATATAAAAGGGCATATTTGCACAGTCTTAGCTTACTACTTTAACATGTTTTCCTGCCCAGAACAGACTTGGCTATCACGAAACAACGTTTCCCCCCAAAGTCTATTCATCCATATCTTCCATGAGAGAATGAGATGTAGAGAGAAGGAGATGCATTTCCAACAGGCTTTTCCATGCCATAATCCTCACCCAGCCAGCCAGGATCATGGGATCACAAATGCACATGCCCAGCGTGGTCAGGAAGACTGAGGCCGAGATCCCAGACCATCTCCTGTGGCCTCAGCACTGTGAGAGCACTGGATCACCACCGCACCACTGGGGCTGACCAGGAAACAACTTTCTATGAACTCCTCACATAGCCTTTTTATAAAAAGTCTTTGAGCCACACACAGGGAGGGAAATTCAGCTAAGGTTAACGTTTTGATTGGAACATAGAAAGCAGGCAGGGCTGAAATTGAACAGAAGTCAGGTTAGGGAAACTTCTCAAATTCTCTAGGGTTGGCTCACTTCAAGATTGGCTTTGTTTTGGTACTGTGAATAGCCAGAAGGCCAAATGTATGTGTATTCCAATAAAGTTACCAATAATCCTTACAAAGCTAAATATAGAAAAGTTTAGGATGTTCCTCTTCATTGATATGGCTGAAAATAATTAAGATCTTAAAATTCAATAAAGAAAGAATTTCTTTTTTTGGAGAGATTTTTGCTATAGGGCGTGTGTGCTCGCCAGACAGACAGAGACAGAGAGAAAGAAAGCGAGAAATCACCCCCCAGGGGGGATGGTCACGCCGCAATCCCTTCTCCTCCATTCTCCTCTCTGGATCTTGGGCACGCACGCACACGCACCCAGCGTAAGTTTAAGCCACCAGGTCCAGGACGCGAACCACAGTTGATTACATGGGATTCCAGCGACATAGCCATTATGCAAACTGCTGGTCCCAAGAAAGAATTTCTTAAAAGATAAAAAAGGGACCAGCAGGTGGCTTGGTGGTTGAGGCGTTGGACACTCCCACATGGCTGACCATGGTTCGTGTTCCGGACCTGACGACTTGCTTTCTCACTTTCTCTCTCTCTCTCTTTCTCTTTCTCTGGTCAAATTAGAATAAATAAAATTCTTTTTAAAAAGAAAATTAAGAGTCATAATATATAACATGACTAAAAGCACTTGAAATTTATGACCCAGTTTCAAATGTTAGATATTCACGTCAGTACAAATCAGAACTTATGATTCACATGAATTAGCTCTGCATGGTTTAGTTTGCCAGTTTCTGCTCATTATTGAGCTCTGATAAAGTGGAACAGTGTGTAGGAAAATTTTGTTTTAGGGGACCAGCAGGTGGCGTGGTGGCTAAGGCGCTGGACACTCCCACATGGCCAACCGCAGTTCAAATATTGGACCTGGTAGCTTGCTTTCTCACTTTCCCTCTCTCTCACTCTGTGTCTCTCTCTCTGGTCAAATGAAAAGAAATGAATGAATAAATAAAATTAAATAATTATTTTTTAAAAAAATTTTATTTTACATAACTTCAATTTTTGCTATCTATAGAGACTGTTTTAGGAAAAAAGCAATCCTCATCCTGTTTTTAATCAATTTATAGTTGGCCACATGCCGTGGGGCATAAGTCATTCTGAAATGGGAGAGTGTTCCCTTTAAATGATTGGGCGACTTCTTACACCTTCCTTTTTAATTTTAGAATGGTGAGAGTATCATGGTTGAACTTGCAGCTGGACCATTTGGAAATAATGAAAAGGTAGGGATGGCCATTACACAGAAATGGCTGCCCACTGTGTATATGTGTATCCGGTCAATAGTTTGGCCTTCTTGTGTAATTCATTGGCCATGTAGTGCATGTTAAGGTATTGTAAAACTTATTTCTCACAAAAATATCGCCCTGTTCTTAGTTATTTGAAATTATTAAATACCTATTGACTTGGGTTTCATCCTAGAATGATGGAAACTTGGTGGAAGCCACTGCTCAACCCTCAGCTCCCCATGAGAAAGTAAGGATTGTATTTCAGATATGTTCATTGGACTTTAAATCATATCCTCTGAGACAAGACTCTACTTTGAGGAAAAATCCAGATTGTCAAAAAAAAATCTGTTTCAAGGCCTGAGTCATATTCTTGGTAAAAAGAAAGAAAAAGTGGTTAGATGTGGGGATAGCGTATTAATATTGTTAATCCTACATGTAACGGGTTTCGTTCTTCCACAATTACCTATTTCTTTCAAGTTTTCTGTACATCAGAATGTACGTGTATGTTCAGTTTATGTCCTCTGATTTTAAGTCCTTTTAAAATGTCAGCGTTAAGATGTTAAAATAATTATTCTAATATCAATCCTTCCTTCTAAGACATATGGAAAAAGATTTCTAAGGCTTATTGGTGGCCTTTTTTCCTTTTTCCTTTTTTTTTTTTTTTTTTTTAATTTTGCAGTTACCAGTTGTCATCAGAGTACCGAAGCTGATCTATTTCTCAGTAATGAGTGTGTGCCTCATGCCCGTTTCAATATTAGGGTTTGGAGACATTATCGTACCAGGTAAGCAATTCTCACAATTTTAGTAAAAATACACTGACAGTTTGAAATAGTAATATGGGCCAAATGGTGGTACAGTAGTTAAAAGCAATGTGCTACAAGTCTGACCCACCGGAAAGTTCTGGGTTCTTATCCAGAGACCTCCCTGAGTACTCTGGGCATGAGCTTCCCCATGATCAGGAGTGGATGAGGCCGGGGGCTGTGTCTGGGCCCACTGCTTTATCTCATTGGTATATCAAATGTTGCTTAATCAGCTAGACACCTCTGCATTAATCCCCTGACTACATTATCTCGGGCAGGAAATTTTCTGCCTTGATTGGTTGTTTTCAGTCTAGCCACATGGGCAGATGCTCCAGCGCCCTTACCCGCTTCCACTTGCTAGCCTTCTCCTGCCTCAGCCCCATAGCACAATGCTTTAGGTATGACACAGAGGAAGCCAAAGACCACATGGCCAAGCAGAGTTCAAATCTCAGCCCCTAACAGCTTGAAAAACATGCCACGAGTGCACACACTTGCCTAGGATCCTGACCAGGTGGAGAACTGAAGGAAAAGAATTACAGCATAACCAGGCCCATTGGGTGGGTAGTCTCTCTCTCTCTCTCCCTTTCTCCCTCCACCTCTTCTCTCACGTGTGCACACCCTCCGGCTTAAAAATAAAAGGGAGAGGGGCCAGCAGGTGGCATGGTGATTAAGGCTCTGGATTTCCATATGATTGACCCCAGTTTGAGTCCCAGACCCAGTGGCTTGAAAAATCACACCAGGAGCATGTGTATACACACTCAAAATCTTGAGAGGAGAATGGAGAAGGGATTGTAACATGGCTATCCACCCCGGGGAGTGATTTCCCACTTTCCCTCTCACTGTCCCTCTCTCTCTTTTTTTAAGAGAGATTTTTGCTATAGGAGGGTGCATGTGCTCCTTGGAGAGACAGAGAGAGGCAGAGAGACAAAAGGCGAGAAACCACCCACCCAGTAGGGATGGCCATGCTGCAATCCCTTCTCCTCCACTCTCCTCTCAGGATTTTGGACACGCAAACACACACACCTGGCATGAGTTTCAAGCTGCCAGGCCTGGGACTCGAACTGCATTTGACCATTTGGGAGTCCAGCAACGTAACCATTACACCATCTGCTGGTCCTACTCACTGCATTTCTCTCTGGCAAGTGCACATACCCTATGGATAAAACTTTTAAAATGAATAAAATAAAAAGAGAGAAAAAACTTTTTACGTTACCTACTTTGTATTGAGTATTTCTGGCTATTGCTAGAGCTGGGATCAGTGACAAATACAGAAAAAAGGCATTTTAAGGGGTAAAAGGAGATGAAGCCCAAATAGTAACAACCAAAATAATCTCTCCCATGGCGCAAAACATGCCTTAGAGGAAGCAACTAGGATCAGTTTAACATTCTTCCCCAAGAAAGTAGATTTCATGACCCTTCCTTTTTTTTTTTTTTTTTAAAGGTTTTTGCAAGAAGGTATGTATGCTTGACAGAGAGAGAGAAAGTGAGAAATCACCTCCCCCTCCGCCCCAAGAGGGGATGGCCATGCCATCTTCCTCCATTCTCCTTTCAGGGTTTTGGACATGCATACCGTGTGTCCAGTCTAATTTTCAAACCACCAGGCCTGGGACTTGAACTGTGGTCAGCTATGTGGAGGTCCAGTACCTTAACCACCACACCACCTGCTGGTCTCCCTAACCCTTCTTAAAAGTCTACTATAATGATGCCAGTCATATAGTTTCCATCTTTAATAAATTATGTTTTAGAAAAAGTTGTTTAGGAATACTAAGGAAGGTAATGAGGAAGAAGAGAACGTAGTGAAACATCTCGTAGGGCTTCATAATACAGAAACACAGTTTGTGGTGGGATAGATCTCCTAGCTGGCTTCCTGACAAATATTGCACTTCTGCCTTACTTTCCTCACTAGGCCACCTGAAGGGATAAACTTAATCCCAGTCCAATAATAATATAGTTAAGAATAACTAATACATTTCTCTATTGGGTGAGACTTTGTCTTTCTACACTGTTCTTAACAATCTCCCTTTGTACTTCCTGTGGGTGGATGAAGGTTTTCTGAAAAAGTGCTTCTATTTACATAGTAAAGCCAGGTAGAGAGAACCTCGTACTGCTGCCTTGTGAGGTGGCATGGCAAAGTCCATTGAGCAACCTTAGTTCAGAGAATCTCTGTTCACACAATTGATAAAGTAAGGAGAGTACTGAGTAACTTTATATTAATAGTCTCTGAATATTTTGAAGCTTATTCCTTATTTTACCAATTCCACACCAACTGCCATGTAAGATTTTATATATAACTCTTGGTATAAAATTGTTAAACATAATAACTAAATATTAATTTTTTATAAAGTTTTTTTAAAAAGAATTATTTTATTTAACTTTATTTAATCATTTGCATTTTTAAAATTTGACCAGCGAGGGACAGAGAGAGAGAAAAGGAAAGTGAGAAAGCAAGCCGCTAGGTCCGGGACTCGAACCATGGTCAGCCATGTGAGAGTCCAGCCCCCTTAACCACCACACCACCTGCTGACCCCAAAACTAAATTTTTTAATTGCCAGAGGATACGTGCACTCACCAGAGACAGAGAGAGAGAGAGAGGAAGAAAAGGCACCCACCAGTGGAGTGTGGTCAGACTGCAATCCCTTCTCCTTCACTTCACCTTCCTGTTGGAATTTGGGACATGCACGTACTTTTTTTTTTTTTTTAGAGGTTTTGTTTGTTTGTTTGTTTTGTCTTAGGGCACATACACTTGCTAGAAAGAAAGTGAGACAGAGATAGTGAGAGAGAAAGTGAGAAATCACCCCCAGCGAGGGATGGCCATGCTGCAATCCCTTCTCCTCCGTTCTCCTCTCAGGATCTTGGACAAGGCATGCATACACGTGCACCTGGCATGAGTTTCAATCCCCCGGGTCCGAGATTGGCCATGTAGGAGTCCAGCAACATAACTGCGATGCCATCTATTGGCCCTCAAAATAAACTCATACTTTAATTCCATTTTTTAATGTCCCTTTGTATGGTTTGTAGATATTTTCTCTCATATGGTAGGTTGTCTCTTCACTTTGTTTATTGTATCCTTGGCTATGCAGAAGCTTTTTAGTTTGATGTTTTCCCACTTGTCTACCTCATACCTTTTTCTTTTTTTTTTTTTTTAAACGTTTTTGCCATAGGGCATGTGGGCTCACTCGCTGGAGAGAGACAGAAAGACAATCAGAGAGAAAATGAGAACTCACCCCCTAGGGGGTATGGCCATGCTGATATCCCTTCTCCCCCATTTTCCTCCTGGGATGTTGGGCATGCAGACACATGCACCTGCATGAGTATCAAGCTGCCAGATCCAGGACTTGAACTGCAGTCAACCTTGTGGGAGTCTTGCATCTTAACCACTATACCATCCGCTGGCCCTATCTGATACATTTTTAAATCATATATTTAAATATTTTTCTCTATGACACAGAATATCGAATAGCTAATAAAAATCATGTTTGGGACCAGCAATTAGCGTAATGGCTATGTCGCTGGACTCCCACATAGTTGACCACGGTTCGCATCCCGGACCCGGTGGCTTAAAACTCACGCTGGGCACGTGTGCGTACGTGCCCAAGATCCCAAGAGGAGAATGGAGGAGAAGGGATTGCGGCGTGGCCATCCCCCCTGGGGGGTGATTTCTCACTTTCTGTCTCTCTGTCTCTCTCTGTCTGTCTGGTGAGCGCATGCACCCTATAGTGAAAACCTCTCTAAAAAAAAAAATCATGTTTAAAAGACTTTAATGGTTTGAGAAATATGTAAAATATGGTATTACACGTTTTAAAAAGCAAGCATATAAAACAATATACAAAATTTGAGATAGTTTAATATACTCATAATGCAAAAATTAAAGTTAAATATAAGCCTAGATGTGATGTACAGATAGTAGGATGCTGCTGAGCAATATTCGCATCAAGGGGAGGCCCAGATTTGGAGCCTAGGTTGACCCAAACGTACTCAGTGTGCCCATGAGGCTGTGTTTGGAAAACTCAGAAGAGGATCACAGCATGGTGAGACCCTGCCAGGGGTGCACTTTTCTCTCTTATTAATTCATTCAGCAAATAAATAAATAAATTTTTTTAAAGAAAGTTAAATTTTGGTACAACAAATACTGTTATCATACTTAACAGTTTAATTTGTATTGCTGTTTTAAGAAAATAATGTGAAGTTTTCTTTTTTTTTTTAGGGCTGTTGATTGCATACTGTAGAAGATTTGATGTTCTGACTGGTTCTTCTTCTATATACTTTGTTTCCTCCACAATTGGTAAATTTTTTTTCTTTTTTTCTTTTTATTTTGTTAAATTATATTGACTTGAAGGAAAGTTAGAGGTATAAAAAATAAGGAGTCCTGGATTCTAGTTTTTCGCATTAATTAATGAAGAGTTTTTTCATCAAAAAGGATAATTAACTATTTTTTCAAGTTTTGTTTTATTTTGTTTTGTTTTTGCCATGGGGCACATGCACTTGCCAGAGAAAGACAGAGGGAGACAGAGAAAGTGAGAAAGCACCTCCCCATGGGGGACAGTCACGCCACAATTCCTTCTCCTCTATTTTTTCCTCCTTTCAGGACCTTGGGCTCACATGCACCTGGGGTGTCCTTCAAGCCACCAGGTGCGGGACTCAGACAGTATGTAACGAATATTAGGAAGATTTTCAAAGCATTTAGTACCTAGCAGTACAGATTTGTTATCTAAAATGTGGAGCAGCTCAGCATGCCTAGTAGTCACAGGTAATCGAGATGGTCTTGCCTTATTAGCTTTATCCGTGATCAATAGTTTAGTAATAATGGAAATACTGACCCATTTCCAAAGTTTTGAAAAACCTCTGTAGCATACCTCTCCTAATGACTGTCTAGGAAAATAAATTATGATAAGTCATAATGCAAAAGGGTCCTCAGAAATACTTGGAAAGGGGACCAGCAGTTAGTGTAATGGCTGGGTTGCTGGACTCCCACGTAGTCGACTGCGGTTCGAGTCCTGGACCCGGTGGCTTAAACTCACACCAGGCGCGTGTGCGTGCATGCCCAAAATCCCAAGAGGAGAATGAAGGAGAAGGGATTGCGGCATGGCCACCCCCCGGGGGGTGATTTCTCGCTTTCTATCTCTCTGTCTGTCTTGCGAGCTCATGCGCCCTATAGCAAAAAAGAAGAAAAAAAAAAAAAAAACACACCCCTCCAAAAAAAAAAAAAAATACTTGGAAACAAATACTTTAATATGAGAGGAAAAAATAACATCAACTAGCATGTAGAAGTGACTGATACTTGGTATTCTTCTTGCAGCCTATGCTGTCGGAATGACACTTACATTTGTTGTTCTGGTGCTGATGAAAAAAGGACAACCTGCCCTTCTCTATTTAGTACCTTGCACACTTATTACTGCCTCAGTTGTTGCTTGGAGACGAAAGGAAATGAAAAAGTTCTGGAGAGGTAGCAGCTATCAGGTATGTGCTTACCCTTTGGTTGCCAAGTTATCTTATGACATGATTTGCTGACTGAATTTAGCTGGGGACAACCTATATGTCTTTTTTTTTTTTTTTTAAGAATTATTTTCTTTAACTTTATTTACTTATTTATTTTAATTTAACCAGAGAGGGAGAAAGGAAGAGAAAGCAAACCACCAGGTCTGGGTCTTGAACCATGGTTCGCTGTGTGGGAGTCCAGTGCCCTTAACCACCATGTCATCTGCCAGCCCCAACAATCTATATGTCTTAAAGCTTTTTATGTACCAGAAACCTAGCTAGGCTCTGTCAGAATGCCCAAAGTTTTACCCACTATTTTCACCTTACTCACTGTCTTCCTAGAACACTGTCAGTACTCACTCCCATTGCCACATAATGCCAAAAGCCTGGTGACTCAAGACAAAACTACCAAGAAGCAACGGGAGGGTATCAGGGAAAACAAAACAGCATTTCAACATGCGTTTGCAAAAGCCATGGAAAAGGCAGATTCCATGAAAGATGAAACTCTGTATTTAAAGTAAGTGCTGATGTCAGTCTCAAAATCCAGTACTTGAGCTGTTTATAGTAAGAGACCAAAGGCTTTGCAAATGAAAAGTATACTTTCTCCAGCATCTAAATAAGCCTAACTAAACTGGACAGGGTGTTCATTCCAGGTTTAAATGGGTCAAGATGGACCTTTCTTTAAAATTTTTAGAACAAAGAAAATCTCAGTATCAGAATCTATTATATTCTATTTGTTCCTTCATTGAAATTAACTCCTTTTCTTCTTTTCCTGAATATCTCTGGTTTTTCAGTTAAAGTCAGTTTACACTGAAATTAAGGAGGGCTGGGAAACCCTGCCTGGAGAAATCAGTGCCGAGGATGGCCTTGACCCCTTCCTGAAAGCACTTTGTGAGGCAGGTAGCTCTGCTTTGCCCTGGTTCCACAAACTGCCCTCCTCCATCCACCCTCGCACCTGGTTCCAGTGGCCATGTGAACAGAGACACTTAGGGTGGGTGGCTGCAATTCTGTTTGTAGATAAACAGTTCAAAGTTCATGTCCATCTTTTCATTGGTCTGGAGTATCATTTTTAGTTTTGTTTAACAAGAGATGGTTAAGATATTAAGGTACAATTACTAAAATTGGGAAAAAAGCACTATTTTAGAATTTTGGGGGTAAATCTTACCATTTTCTTTTGAGATTCAGGTAAAATAATAACACCTGCCCTGACTACCTCACAATCCTATTGTCTCAACCTATATTAATATATGTAGAATGAATTTATGGCTACAAGGTCCTTAACTAAGCTAGTAGGGTAACTTTTAACTTTCCCGGGAAAATGACATCTACATGGATTTTTTAAAGTTTTTATAGATTTTTTTTTTTAAATAAAAAAGTGTGTCCTAGTACTACTAACCTTTAAAAGTCATATCCCAAAAAAGTGCTCTTATTTTTGTTATAGTTTCATATTCCTTAATTTAACAGATGTTTATTAAGCAGTTCTATGAGTGAGGTACTATTTTAGGTTTGATGATACAAGATAAAACAAGTTAGAGATAGACCTGTTCTCATGGCCTCTTAAAAGTTACTGTAATGGGAATGCATATGGAGTCACTAACAATAAAGTGAGATAAATTGATCAGTTATGGTACTTGCCATGAAGGCTAAAGACGGGACATCTAGTGCTTTCAGGAGTGTTGTAGGTGATTTTGGAAAGACTTCTTTAAAAATGTTATATTTTCGTTGAGGCTTTAAGATTGAGCTATGTGTTCCGTGTTGAGGGATCCATGTCCTCAAAGGCTCAGAGGGAAGAGAGCATGGCACGTTCTAGGAACCAATGAGGTTTAAGGTGACTGCAATGTAAAGTAAGGGTAAAGGAGCTGCAGAAAATAAAAACTGGGGGCCAGCTGGTGGCATAATGGTTACGTCTCTGAACTCCCATGTAGTCAGCCGCAGTTCGAGTCCCAGATGTGCTGGCTTAAAACTCAGGCCAGGCACATGTGCGTGCATGCTCAGGATCCTAAGAGGAGAATGGAGGAGAAGGAACTGCACCATGGCCATCCCCCAGGAGGTGATTTCTCACTTTTTTCCTCTCTCTCTGGCGAGTGTGCATGTTTTATAGCAAAAATCTCTCTCTCAAAAAAAAAAAAATGAAAATGAAAACTGGAGAAAGAAGCAAATATTAGGGCCTGTTGAGTCTTATAAGCTACTTTAGAGAGTTTGGACTCTACCCTAAGATCATCGAAGACTATTTAAGAGTTTTAAGACATCTAGGCCCAGCCCACTCCATAGGCTGAGGTCGCAGAAGAGGCCCAGATTCCATTTTGGCCCACTCTAAAAGCCAGGGACAGCTGTAGTTCCAGCTACTTGGGAAGCTGAGAGAGAGGAACAGTGATATAATGAGACCCTACCTAAAAAAGAGAAACAAAACAAAAGATGGGGAAGAGGGGAAAAGAGATCTAGAAATATATTAAAGAAGGGAGCAAAACTGAGGACAGCTATTACAATGAGAAGCAGTAGTAGCCTCAATTAGGTAGTGAAATGGACAAAGTAAAAAAAAAAATTACAAGTATAATCAATATATCTGGTGATAGATGCAGTGGGAGGAGAGGTTAAAGAAGTAGAGTCCAGCGACTCTGGCTTGGGAAACTGAGTGGTAATAAATGATGATTCTATTCACTGAGATAAAGGAAGGGTAATAGGTTGGGAGGAAGATGACGGATTCAATGTCGAGCATTTCAAAGAACCTATAGGACCACCAGGAATAAAGACATAATTAGTTAAGAATTAAAATTTGGGCCGCAAGTGGCATGGAGGTTAAGGCAGCTGGATCCCACATGGCCGACTGCTGTGCAAGTCCCAGACCCAGTGTGCTTGATGGGCACACTCGCGTCCCCAAAACCCCTAGAGGAGAGTGGAGTAGAGGGCATTACGATGTGGCCTTCCCCTCTGAGGAGTGATTTCTCACTTTCTCTCTCTCTCTGTGTCTTTCTAGCAAGCGCAAGTACACTATAGCAAAAAAAGGAAAAGAAAAAAAATTGAGAGTGGTTAGCCAGCTTTATGTTTCCTGTTATTTTTATCAACAGCATTTTGTTTTTACTTTTAAAATATTTTTTCTCCCCCAATACAGCTTTTAGTATTTTATTATAAAAAGTGTATGATTGGGAACCAGCAGGTGGTATGGTGGTTAAAGCGCTGGACACTCCCACATAGCCTACCATGGTTTGAGTCCTGGACCTGGTGGCTTGTTTTCTCACTTTCCCTCTCTCTTGGTGTCTCTCTCTCTGGCCAAATTAAAATGAATGAATAAATACTTTTTTTTAAAAAAAGTGTATGATTATTGGGAACCAGCAGTTAGCGTAATGGCTATGTCGCTGGACTCCCACGTAGTCGACCGTGGTTCGCGTCCCAGACCCGGTGGCTTAAAACTCATGCTGAGCGTGTGTGCATGCGTGCCCAAGATTCCGAGAGGAAAATGGAGGAGAAGGGATTGCGGTGTGACCATCCCCCCTGGGGGGGTGATTTCTCGCTTTCTGTCTCTATGTCTCTCTCTGTCTGGTGAACGCATGCACCCTATAGTGAAAACCTCTCAAAAAAAAAAAAGTGTATGATTATTATAGAAAATTTGAAAATGAAAAAGATGCAAGAAGAAAATTAAACCCACCCATAATCCCATCACTGAGAAATGGTGTTAATTTCCTTTTATGTCTTCTCCAGATAAGTTGATCGAGGATGCTGTAGTTAATTCTCTGTCTTGCCTTTTCAGTACATTTTTTGTGTTACTGCATTTAATGTCCTTGTAAAAGTCATTTTAGTGGTTGTGTAATATTCTCTCATATGCATGTGCCGTATTTTACTTTATCATTTATTTTGACCCAGTAATTCCTCATCAGTGGATTATCTGGAAACTGATGAAAATTTGGGGCAAAATTGATGTGAAAACATGTTCATTCTAGTATTTCTTTTTTTTTTTTTTTTTTTTTTTTAGGGTTTTTTCCCATAGGGGGGGGGGGCCCCCCAAAAGACAGAGAGACAGAAAGCAAGAAATCACCCCCCAGGGGGAATGGCCACGGCGCAATCCCTTCTCGTCCATTCTCCTCTCGGGATCTTGGGCACGCACACACATGCTCCCGGCATGAGTTTTAAGCCACCGGGTCTGGGACGCCAACCGCGGTCAACTACATAGGAGTCCAGCAACATAGCCATTACGCTAACTGCTGGTCCCTCATTCTAGTATTTCTAATCTTCCTTCTTTTATTTAATGACTCATAGGTTAATAAAATTGACAGTTAATGTACTAAATTCTTCACAAAGACTCCAACCCAACTTTCACTTTCACTTTAATAATTCTTGTTTGTGATTTAGTTACCAAGTAATGCATGTTTGCATTTTTAAACAAACAAGATAAAAGTATTGAAAGTAAAAATTAAAGACCCTTTTCTATTCATCCTATCTCCAGCCCCAACCCTTAGAGGCTAGCTACTTTGAATGGTTTGCATGTTTCTTGTGGGTCTTTTTTTTTTTTTAAACAGAGATGTTTGCTATAGGGCACGTGCACTTGCCAGAGAGACAGAGAGAGACGGACAGAAAGCAAGAAATCACCGCCAGAGGAGGTGATCATGCTGTAATCCCTTTCCCTCCATTCTTGTCTTGGTATCATGGACACGCACACATATGCATGCTCCCAGTGTGACTTTTAAGCTGCTGGTCCAATACGCAAACTGGAGTTGACTACATGGGAGTTCAGCATCCTAACTGTTGTGACATCTGCTGGTTCCTCTTGCAGGTCTTTTTAAAGTGCTAACTTATGCTGGAAATAGTTGAACATTTAGCATTCTTGTATATGTAAATATATTAACATTGCATTTCTTTGGAAATATTCTACAGCTCATTTTTACCTGTGGTTTATTCTAGTACCTCACCTCCTTTCTCTCTCTGTGATGTTTATTGAAAGGGGAGATGATAGATAAGGAAAGAATCTAACCAAGGGTGTATTTCTATTT